AATGCATTTGCTTTAATATTTTCAAAATTCAATTTTATTATATTCAACAAAAAAAATTTAGATTATTTTAACCCCTAAAGTTTGTTAATTTAACTAAACACCCCCACCAACCCATGTATCGACGGTCGCTAGCCACCATCGCCAGAAGGTGGCTAGAATCTGCTAGAATAGCACACGATCGGTTGGATCTGGCTGAAAAATGCTAGATCGACACACAATCAGCCAAATCCAACTGGTTGTGCACCATTCTGACAGATTCCAGCCACCTTCCGGCTGTGATGGCCGACTGTCAGCAATACGTGGGTGTGTGGGGATGTTTTTGTCAATCTATAAACTTTTATTATTTGGAGTATTTAGTTAAATTAAAAAACCTAGGGGGTTAAAAATAATCTAAATATTTTTAGAAAATTCTATTAAAAAATGTACAAAAAAAACTTCTCAAAAAACCTATCATATTTTCAAAAAATGCAAAATAGCATAGAATGCTATTTTAAATAACCAACCAGACGAAGCTGAATCATATTTTTCATAATCACAAGTAAAGGTGGAAAAGTAACCCGCTCGGCCCGACCCGGCCCGCGGCGGGTTACGAACTTTGGCGGGCCGGGCCTAACCCACCCGCCAACAAAGGCAGGTTGGGTTAGGCCCGCCATTTTGGGGGAAATGGCTAGCCCAGCCTGACCCGCCAACCCTAACCCGGCGGTTTGGGCCGGGTTAGCCCGATTTTTTTATTTTTTTTGTTTTTTTATTTAACTTTTCAAATAAATAATTAACAATTTATAAATAAATAAATTATAAATGTAATTAATTTTATTTAACTTTTCAAATATCAATAATTCAATTCAATTCAATTTTTTTTGTTAACATTTCAAATATTAATTCAATTTTAATACAATAAAATTGTAATATAAGAAAAATTAGACTTATTCATTTATCAAAAATTAAAATAAGAAATTACAACAATTATTGTCTTGTTAAAAACCTCACCAAGAAAAACCCAATGGGAAGAAAAACTTGGTAAAGAAAAAAGAGTGCAATAATTGACAATTAATTTACAAATTACATTTTACAAAACAACTAATTTGGGGGTGGTTCACTAGGACCTCCCTCATCTGTATCATCTATATTACAAAATTGAAATGATTCTATTAAAGTATTGTCGACAACCTCGTATTAATCTTGATGGCACTATCGTTTCCAATCTCGAAGATATGTGAGGACTTCAATCATTTTTGGAGAAAGTTGAGTGCTCATTTCATTTAAAATTCTTCCACTTGCAATAAATGTTTGTTCGGATGAGACGGTTGAGACAGAAACAGCGAAAACATCCAAGGCAAGTCTTGATAATACCGGAAAAATACATTTTCTAGTTCTCCAATACTCTAAGATATCAAAGTGATATGTTAGTAACATTTCGGGGGTTGCCAAATATTGTTGAAGTTCATTACTCTACGACTCCATGGAGGACAATATATTAATTGTTGTTGTTGGTGGTGGTGGTGCTTCTGAAGAGGAGATTGTGCTTTGGATTCGGGTCCTCTTCGGCCTATTCAGTGCATTCCAAGAGTAGAAGTCTTCATTTGTTGTTTCTTCTGATGCAACTTCCCTGGATATTTCGCCTCTTTGCAGATTCCTATACATGTTTTCATATTGGAAATATACTTCGAAAAGACTATTTTTTACCTCTTCTACTTGGTTGACATATGCTTCAGTTTGTAACTTTTCACTTAAACTGTTAAAACCATTTTCTAAATGTGCTAATTTAATTTTAGGATCAAATATAACACCTAAACAATAAAAAAAAAAGGAATGGGTTCCCAATATTTCAAAAAAAAAAAAAAAATTCATTGCCTTTATTGGTGCATTTAAAATTTCATTGTCTTTGTTTTTTGTAAATAACTCGGAAATTTTTATAATTGTATGTATTACCAATGGACTAGTAGAATAATACACACCAGAAAGTTGTAAAGTGGATTGGTAAAAAATTTTAAGAAAATAATGAAATATTTTAGCTATCTGCCAATCATTTTCTATCAAATAATGAGGACCTCTATTATTTGCTACAAAACAACTAATTATATTAGCATAAGGTAAACATGAATCAAGCATTAAATAAATACTATTCCATCTAACAGACATATCTAATGCAAAAGTTTTAGGAGACATTTTGATTTTATACAAGTTTCTTGAATTCAGCATTTCTTTTATTACTACTAGTAATCCAAGCTAAAGATTCCCTAATTCTATCAATATTTTGTTTAATTGTTTTCATACCACTTTTCACAATTAAATTAATAACATGACATACACAACTTTGGTGAAAAAACTTCAAATTGTTATATAAAAGATAATTAATTTGAAAAAAATCTATAACTTTACTATTAGAACTTATATTATCTAAAGTTAAACTTATTACTTTATCAATAATATCATAATCTTCTAAAACTTCTACAATTTTATTATAAATTTGTTGACCATTATGATCCACATCCATTAATCTAAATCCTAATAAAGATTTATTTAATTTAAATTCATTATCAAAATAATGACTAGTCACACAAATATAATCTTGTTTAGCTCTACCACTCCAAATATCGGCAGTTAGAACCTCACTAATATGACAAGTATGTAATTTATTTTTTAATTCTAATTTCATTTTTTTAAACAATTTTATTAAATCATTTCTAGTTGCAGTTTTAGAATGACTTTTAAATCCTGGAAAAACTGAATTTTGAACAAATCTTTCAAAATATTTATCTTCAGCCATATTAATAGGTTGATCAGCTGCAGTAATATATAAAGCTAACTGTTCCCTATATACATCATAATTATAACGCCAAGTAGTACCCATATTAGTTATTTGAGTTTGATTACTTTCTCTATTTCCATGTTGACTAATATGTTTATTAGCATGCCTTTTTAAAGTACTAGTACCATTACCTGAATCAACTTTATAAACATTTCCACAATATTTGCATCTTGCTTTCTTGACTTGAACGTCATTTTCTGTCTCGTAAAACTTGTCGAAATGCGCCCAAACGTCTGATGTGAGCCTGTCTTCGGTTTCGACGGCAGTTGATGAACCCGTCTCAGCTTGAGATGGAGTTGGACGAGGACGACTTCTAGAACCACCGGGAGCTGTTGGAATCGAGGGCATATTTTGAGGTGTATCGAATTCTGAGACTGAGACAGCGGGACTATTTGAATCTCTTGCATTCATAGTAAAATCAGCGGGACTAGGACTAGGATAGTAGTTTCCTTCATCATTGAAATTGATAGGAGAGAAATATATATCCATTGTAGTTAAACACAAAAAATTGATGTAGAAGAAATAAAAATTAAAGAAAGAGAATTGGAATATGGAAATTGGAATTTGGAAAATTGGAAATATGAATTGAAAATTGCAAAAACTAATAAAAATTAATCCATTGTAGTTGAAAAAAAAAATTGATGTAGAAGAAATAAAAATTAAAGAAAGAGAATTGGAATATGGAAATTGGAATTTGGAAAATTGGAAATATGAATTGAAAATTGCAAAAACTAATAAAAATTAAAATAAGAGCAAATTGAGAGAATAGAGATAAGAGAATAATTGAGAGAATAGAGATTAGAGAATATGAGAGAATGAGAGAATTTGAGTTGTGAGAAAAATATGAGAGTTTAGGGCCAATTTATAGAAAAAAATGGGGAAAGAAAATGACGAAAAAGACTCCTCCAACGACTATATTTCAAGGGTAAAAGGGTAATTTGAAAAAATAAATAAATTTTATAATTTTTTTCGGCCAACCAGGTCAACCCGACGGGTTGGCCGTTGGTGTAACAGCCAACCCGCCGGGTTGGCGGTCCTTCTGTAGAGAGGACAAAATAGCAACCCAGTACGCCCGGGGGTTGTAGGCGGGCCGGGTTGAACCCCCTTTATTACAGGTTGGGTTAGGGTTGACCCGTCTAATCTGGTCTATTTATTCCACCTCTAATCATAATTGAGCTATTTGATATAAACCTTAAATAGTATTATATTCCTTTTCAGCTTATGTTGTTTATTTACTATATAAGTATATGATACCAAAAACAGTATCCTTTTTCTTCATTATTTGGTTTATGTTAAAAAACCAAACAAATTGACATCGATGGAAGGAGAAAGGGAGAAATACTAAAGTCAACTGTATCATGTGCGGTTATGATGGCCGATTATCGGTAATACGTGGGTGTGTGGGGATGTTTTTATCAACCTAAAAACTTTTATTGTTGTGAGTATTTAGTTAAATTAACAAATTTAAAGTGTTAAAAATAATCTAAAAATTTTTAAAAAATGTTATTAAGAATGTACAAAAAAAAAAACTTCTCAAAAATCTATCATATTTTTCAAAAATGCAAAATAGCATAGAATCCTATTTTAATAACCAACCAGACGAAGCCGAATCATATTTTTCATAATCATAAGCCAGATATATGATATAAACCTTAAGTAGTATTATATTTCTTTTCAGCTTATGTTATTTATTTACTATATAAGTATATGATACCAAAAACAGCGTCCTTCTTCTTCATTATTCGGTTTATGTTAAAAAACCAAACAAATTGATATCGATGGAAGGAGAAAGGGAGAAATACTAAAGTCAACTGTATCATGCGGCACCAACCAATACTACTATTTTATTCAAAACCTAGTTTGAAATCAGACGGCCTGTGACCAATCTTTGACTCAATCTCCAACCATGTTCCTACGTCTCATTGAACAAATTTACCTGCTTGGCCCCCACACTTGAAGAGATAGTCAATGTCATCCCGACTCTTTATTTTTTCTCCAAATTATTGAAGCGATAAAAGGAAGTGATCTATACGTACATTCTAGCCTAGGCTTAAAATTAAATTTAATAAATTAAAGAAAGAAAATATGTGGCTGGATCTTACGCGTACCTAAATTGGACGGCAAAGCTAGAGTGACAGGTGACTGACCTAATTGACCAATCACTATTTCATAGCATTAGCCGATGCCATCATTTTGACCAAACCAGAGAAAGAGAAACCACTTATCTCTTTATTAGCATAGCCACTGTCTTCATTTTGTTTTGGCATACTTTTTTCATGGTGCTGTTGCAGAAATGGCTGTAGAACTCATGATGGGGTTCAGTAACGATGGGTTTGCTTCCAAAATGGTGGAAGAAACCGCAGTGAAAGAAGCAGCCTCTGGACTTGAGAGTGTTGAAAAGCTCATCAAATTGTTGTCACAACAACAACAACAACACAACCAGGATAGATTTAGTCACCATTCAGCTTCATCTTCAACCCCCAGTCCTAAACTACCCATGGATTTAGACAAAGACTACAGAGCTGTTGCCGACGTTGCCGTTTCAAAGTTTAAGAGGGTGATTTCTCTTCTTGGTCGTACCAGAACTGGCCATGCTCGTTTTAGAAGGGCCCCTGTGGCTTCGGCTTCTCCTCCTCCACTTAACCTAAACAACCAAGAGAGTAGCCAGAACCAAGGTGGTGTAGAAACTAAGGTTTATTACGCAACACCGATCCAGCAGTTTCCACCACTTCCACCTCATCTTAATCATCACCATCATCATCCTCATCACCATGAATTCTCTTCCTTGGTTGTTCCAAAGAGCGGGGTTCTTGAGAGGAAAGATTCGTCAACTACTATCAATTTTTCGCATGCCTCAGCTGCCAATTCGTTTATCTCTTCCTTGACTGGTGATGGTGATAGCAAGCAAAATCCATCAAATTCCTCTGCTTTTCAGATTGCTAATCTGTCTCAGGTTTCTTCAGTAGGGAAGCCACCTTTGTCCTCATCTTCGTTTAAGAGGAAGTGTAACTCTGAGAACAACATGAGTTCAGCTGGCAAGTGTGGCGTGTCTTCTGGTCGTTGCCATTGCTCTAAGAAGAGGTAATAATTAACTCTACCCCTTGTTTTACATTATTAGTTCCTTTTCTATGAATAAAGTTTGGTGTTTAAATTTGATTGCTTTGCTGTTAATCGTGACAGAAAGTTGAGATTGAAGAGGGTTGTGAGGGTTCCTGCAGTAAGCTTGAAATTGTCTGATATTCCACCTGATGATTACTCTTGGAGGAAGTATGGACAGAAACCCATCAAAGGATCTCCACATCCAAGGTATAATTTCCTGTTAAAGATAGCTGAGCTTGCTGATTTATCCTGTTATTTATGGTGTAATTAATTGGTTAATTAACTGAGTTTTGTGTTGAATTAAATTGATTTTGAACAGGGGTTACTACAAGTGCAGCAGTGTGAGAGGTTGCCCGGCACGTAAACATGTGGAGAGAGCTGTGGATGATCCATCAATGCTTGTAGTGACATATGAAGGCGAGCACAATCACTCTCTCTCAGTTGCAGATGCCGCAAATCTCATCCTGGAGTCGTCTTAAAGTTGCAATGAAAAAGCAGTTTGATATGTAACTTTGAAAATTAGTAGATGAATGAATGGTAGTGGGGGTAACAGTAGAGTAGTTGGGTTAGCCTGAAGTAAAAGAAAATCCCAGGTATTCATCTCGAAGGAGATTAGTGGGTTTAGTTTGTCCAGTCCAGTGTAGTCCCTGTACACAATATGGGATCTGATTCCACCTGCTTTTATCTTATATATTTTGAGCACTGTAACCTATGTTAATTAAAACAAAAAGCAAGGGAAATGGTGGATTTGGTATTGGATTTCAATCTCAAAAGGAAGAAAGTGGGGTTCTATTCTCTATCGTCTTTTTTCCTAATTTTTATTAGTTGCTTTAGCTTTGGTTCTTGATTTGGATGCCTACTTCTCACCTTTTGTTACATCAATCACAGTTTCATTTTTCTTTTCTCTGATTTAAATACTGAAAAAAGAAAAAAGAGAAAGTAAAGAAAACGACTCAGTCAATTAAGTAGAAAGAAGTGGACCAGTATGTCGTGTTTTGTACGGTTGACCAAAATTGAAAGAGCCGGTTGGGAGTTGCCAGTTGGGACGGCTAGCTAGCTAATTTACGAAGGTGGGTGTTGGTTAGTGATTGAGGTTTTTTTTTTTGTTCTTCTTCTTTTCTCTTAAATGAATTTATGTTTGGTTTTGTTTGGATTCTGGCAAATGGGTTGGCTAAATTTAGAGAAGACTGAGAAAGAGATGGTTGGTCTAGAAGGGTATGAAACTTCAAAGCTTTATTTATTTTTTTTGTAATGTGAAATTAAAATCAAATGGCAAAGTCAAAATGGGTGGGTGGGGAATTGATAAGTTGTGGCCTTTTGGGGCCCTCTCAATTTTGTTTTGGTTTGGTTTGCCTTTGCTTAACGTCAACTTTGTTATAAGAGATGGTCCCCTAAATTTCTTATCATTCATTCATTTGTTGACATGTAGTATGCCCACCCCCACCATCTAAATCATTCACACAATTTCTCTGCCATCATCAAATCAACACCTACACCTTCTTTCCTCAAACCCACTTCAATTTTCAAACAACTGACCCAGTTATAAAGAAACAAAGCTATCCTATCTCTGTTCTATGCCCAAGATTTGAAAAGCATTAATTCAATTATTAAGTAAAGCTTGTACTTCACTTAACATGTCAAACCTTGTTGTAAAAGAGAGGTCTTATAAAACTAATAGTGTAGCCGTGGACAATGGAACAACCAACCAAACAAAAATGTATATATATATGTGTAGACGCTTATTGTTGTATTTTAGAAATATATATATATATATATATATATATATATTGAATTTGTCAAAGTTTAAGTTGACCCACCTGCAGTTGTCAGGATGAACTGATATCACAAGTTTGTCCTTTATTTTGTTGGTATTTGATGTAGGGTTACACAAGTTTGAACAAGTTCCCGACTGAATGAGTTGCTCCAGTCTGTAAGATGTTGATATTTCATACATCAGTAGGATAATGAGAATCTTTATTCATACGTCTAAAATCCAGATTTGTGCATTTTAAAACATATGTATAATGTATTAATGTAAGTAGCATGCTATCACAAGAAAGCTAACTGGCAAAGATCTGTGTTATGTCACTGTATATATTATATGCTTACATAAAAAGCTGATTTATATTGTCACGTTCGGCATTTGCATTGCTGTAACTTTTAAAACTTGTCATATAAATTTTTGAGAATATTAGGAGTGATACCAAACTGTATTCGAAAAAACAATGTTGCCAAAACCCAAGTATACATGGAATATTTTGAAACGAGGAGCCGGAAGTGGTTCCAAATGAAAGGTTTTGGTTCAGCCTGTTGGGGGAAATGATTCATTTTGATTTATGTGGAGGAGGAGGAGGAGGTTTTCCCATGCATTTTTGTAACACCAACGTTTGTCAAAATTTCAGTAGATGCCTTTTTTTTTGTTCATGACTGTTATGCCTGGAAAAGTAAGGCTGACGCACGATCTTGTTAGCATGGGATGGTCAGAGCTTGAAAAGGTTCTGCGACCGCTCAGACGCACCCACGTAGCATAAAGACGTAAGCAGCATGCCCCTGTCAGTGCAGTGGGTGAGTGCTAGGTTAGCAGATGGTTGGAAGTCTTCCACGTGTCCAATCCCTGCATAAGTCGAGGAAATCACTCGGACAAGTGAGCAATGAGACACAGAGAAGGATCTGCACAGTATCCACCCACTAGCAGATTTAATAATCATTACCTTGGTCCATCCCACTATAAATAGATGACTTCTCTATCATTTGCAAGGATTAGCTAATTTCACGTTAGAATAGCTTACTCTCTCTTTTTCTCTATCCCTTATATTCTCTAAACTGTAACTTAGTTCACTTAATGCGACCTGATCTTATTCATTAATACAATATCAGTGGACGTAAGATTCGCTTCTAAGCATTCGAACCACTTTAAACATTGCTTCTCACCTTTTACTTAACTGAACATTTTTATATCACGCGTGACTTCTAAGCATGCTTAGCATTTCTCACGTACGATTAGTTGGTGTCAAAATCAAACATCAACAATGATATATAATTTTAGTAGATGATAATCAACGGGAAAAGAAATACATATATATATATATCTTACCAAATGATTATTCCTTTCCTTGCACCTCATAAAGCTGCATATCATAGACCAAAATAAGTCTAGAATTTGTGCAATGTCATTAGTAGTCATTCAGAGAAGTAAACAACTTCTTGAGGTTGAGAGCACAACAATCCAGCAGCAGTCCAAAATGATAAAGCATTTTTTTTTTTTTTTTTGGGTGTTTAGGCTAGTGTTAGGAAACGACCCGGTTGCGCAGCGGAAAACAAAAATTTTACAACTACGGATCGTTCCTTAGAACCCAAAATCAGGGCATAGATTTACAGTTTATGCATAATATGAATCTGCAGAAAAATAAATCCAAAGGTTTAGATATTACCCACGTGGAGGCTCCACCAATGTTGTCTCTGAATGTGTTTGCTACCGATCCAAGTGTAGGATCGAACCAAGAAGTCCACACGAAGACAACCACCAAGAACCAAGGAGGGATTTGCTAGATCCTCCTTGGCCTTAAGAAATCAAGAAGAAGATCAGTATTTGATTTTTCAATCAACAGTGAGATTGGCGTGAGAGAGTGTATAAGGGGCTGCTGTGTTTTCTTTTAAAAAAATTAAAGAATGAATCACACACTATTCTTTTATAGGCAAACCAAGTGCCCTATTCCCACATGGAATGGGCTTGGGCTCCAACCCAAACACCCCATGTTGCCAAACACTCCCAATTTGATATTTTAATTTAATCATCATTATCTTAATTAAAATCAATTAATATTTAATTAACATTTAACAAATGATGATTTAATTAAATATGTGCGAACACACATTTAACCGTAATTTACTTATTTAATTTTTTTTAACAAATTAAATAATAGGCTACGACCTCAGCAAATTTAATTGCACTGTGAAATTACCAAAATACCCTTTTGCCTAAAAAGACGAAAACGCCCTTCTTTCTTCTTGGCTCTAAATTATCTTCTATGTGTGTGACCCATAGGCTCCATTCATACCGGTAGTGTATAGTTAGCGATTACACAATTAATCGTCTCACAATACAGACCCAGATTGGCCCCTAGCAAGGCATCATGGCCACCGATAGATTCGGATTCAGCAAAGTAGCTACCTTTCAACGATAGGTTACCGTACATACGATCCTTATCATACGTTATCTCGACGAGACGAAGGCATAGAAATAGTGTAACCTTCGGTTACTCTCGATATTATATATTCAGTTCTGGACCAATGACCCGTATTATAATCTGGATAGAGCAACAACTCAATCCCACTGTGGCCACAGTTTTAGTGTCATTGCCATATACTGAATTGCGCCGTGAGATAACTTCTCCCGTACCGGGAGTGATGAATCCTTGTCAATCCACATAGTCTTGATACACTTCTTGATATAGCAATCACCACCGTACTGACAGCTCTGAATAGAACTGCGTTAGGCTAGTGTCAAACTGTACCAGTCGGTGCACAAGGCACTCGGTGCCCTCAGCTAAGGATCACATGCACCACCATTCGTTAGAGGATTTGTTCCATAGACACTGGGGTTACCATCCATATGGAATCCTCTGGTGGGTCAGTCCAGTGAACTTGCTGCGGTATATCCGCCTACAACAAGCACCCATGTGTTGCACCAGGTTGTCACCAAACAACCTTGACAAGTGAGATCAGTCACTGCCTTTCGACAGGGTCGTTCAACACTATGATAGCCTTACCGTATTATCTGTGCCCTTATTTCAGAATAATACTAGGGCTACGGACGTTTCTAGAATGGCCACCATATGTGCTCATAGGGTTCTCACTATCAAGATTTGAAACACTTGATACCCTCGTCACGGTTCTACCATTCTAAGGACATATATCAATACATATTGCAATAATAATAATGATTTACGCGATATAGAATAAAATGCCTTTTATTATTGATTAATGAACATTATTACAAAGAGTCAATTCCACAATAATTGATTGGCTCTAGGGCATCTACTCTAACAGTTTGCAAGCACCTCAACTAATCTTCCGGGTCTTGAAGTTAACGATTGGATAAGTCTCCGGTGATTATCTTTATTAGTAACCGAGATAGATTAAGCTCAAGACCTTTTGAATGATATATTCAAAAGTCTTTGTTTTTCTGATAATATTTAGAGATGCAATATTGCAGTTTAAGTTAAAGCCACGTCAAGTGATTATTCAGAAAGTGATATTTTTTTTTAAGGATTTTTAGAGTTTCTAATTAATCTCTTGTTTGCAAGCATGATCATACATAAAGTTACAAACTTTGATAATTTTCAATTTTAAATATATTATTTAATTTTAAAAAGTTTATTAAAGGGCCAAGTTCTAATGGACTCACATAACATAACATATCCAACCCTACAAGGTTAAGCCCAAGCATGTACGGCCCAAAAGTAACGCAGCTTAAACCCAGATGAGAACGTCCAAGGCACTTCGCAGTCCTCCACTAAACCCTAACCAATAGTGGCGGCGATGGGTTGTCCTCATCAAATCCCATCGTCCGCTCATGAACTTCAAACCCAAAATCATTAGTCCCCGTCTCTCTTCTCTCAACTCCTGTTTTTTCATTTCGAAAATTCTCATGGCTCAAACCCTGACCCGGACTCTCCATTCGGATCCGCCACAAGACAGTGAGGACGTCCTCTGCTCCGACAATGCCCAGCAACAGGAGCAAGAATCTTCTTTGTCTGATACGTCGTCGTTTATTTTGGGGTCGCCGAGTCGGTGCCTGACCGGAGAGGCCTGTATAGAGAGAGCATGGGCCCATTGGGCCAAACTAGGCCGGCCCAAGTTGATCGTTGCCCCGATGGTTGACAATTCGGAGCTCCCGTTTCGAATGCTCTGTAGAAAGTACGGTGCTGAGGCTGCGTATACGCCCATGCTGCATTCACGAATTTTTACTGAGACTGAAAAGTACAGAAATCAAGAATTCACCACTTGTAAGGTAATTTTCTTATCTTTAATTGTTCTTAACTTTGTTTGAAGTTTCTAATGCTATATGCTTATAGGTTATTTGCCAGCGTATTTTTTATATTTATTTATTTATTTATTTATTTTAAATCTGTGATTCGGAGATGATAGTTTGATAGAAATGTGCATGGTTAATATATTTTGTTTATACATTTATTTTAATAGGAAAAAATCAATAATTTTGCATTTTAGAGAACAGACTTCTAATATTTCTGAATGGTGATTGGTGAAAGAAAAGAGATGGATGATAATTGTGAGGATATTTATATTGCCGTGCTAAAGTAGGTATAATTGCAATGCGATTAAGCTGATTCAGGAAGGATTCATTATTCATATATGCCTAATAATTTAGGCTCTTTGAGTTGAGATATCAGAAGCTTATATAATCCATTCTAGAATTCTGTATCTTCTGATATTTATTTCTTGAGAATTTGAGGGTGGCTTTCTTTTTGGGGTTTTTGAATGGTGCAAGTTATTGCAGGAGGATCGCCCATTGTTTGTTCAATTTTGTGCCAATGATCCAGACACATTATTGGATGCTGCACGGAGAGTGGAACCTTTCTGTGATTATGTTGACATCAATTTAGGGTAATGTAATTTCTCCCCCCATTTATAATTAACATTTACTTGGTTTTGTTTGGATGATTGGTCATTAGCTGGAAAACTGTTATTATACTTAATTTTAAGTGAGCATATGGTCAAGAGAAATTAATTTTTTAAGTAACAGTTTTGGATGAACCACTTATCATGATGAAACAATATGCAATCAATTGTATAGGGAAGGATCAAAAGAGAGGTTTTAACCTTCATAAATATTGGTTTTAAGTTTCAATATCAACAGTAGCCTGTATTTTAATGAAAAGGTTACATTTATTAATTTGAAAATTGTAGTTTTTTGCACATCACAGGATAAAAGGAGTGGAGTGTACTATTTTTTCGAGAACTCATGTTTGGCATAACACAGTATTACTTATAAGCCTTCATTTAGTCCCCTTTCTTCTGCAGTGTTGTACTCTTCATGCAGCGCTGCTTGTGTCCTAATTTTGGTTTTATTATTTTTTAATTTCTTAATTAACATTATAAAATAAAAATTAATATTTATTTTAATATGAATATTGAATTTTTCAATAATTTTATCTATATTAGTTTAACCAGAAGTCGAGAATTTGTTTATAAATATTGTCCAGCATAAAATACAATTTTATACATAATCCAGTCCTAACAAATCTACTTCAATGCAACCAATCCATTCCCCCGAGAAATTAATCCAGTACAATGTACCAAAAATACCCCATATTCCATATTTATTCTTTCACAATGCATACTAATGTAATTTTAAGTCATGACATTGAAGGGACTGAAAAGAACAGAAACAGCTTGATTTCTTCTTTGTAATGCCCAGTTATTTGAGCTTGTGTCTTTTGGTTTTTATTAGTTTTGGTGGATTTTACTTAAAATTTCTTTGATTTGTCAACTGTTCAATGTTTTAAAACACAAATAGTAGATTTTTAAGTTTTCAACAATATAAATATAATCTTACGGGAGAATCATTCAATTAAGGCTATTCCCAACCAAATGGTTTACTTTTATAATTACTGGTAAAACCATAATCATCTTATCTAATCCAGAACTTTTTATACTCTCAAAATGTCAGAATCTAGAAGAGAAGACGTAAAAAAATGAAAGAAGAAAATTAATTTCTTGTGACACACAACCAACTTTCATTTAGCAACTTTGTGATTATAACATCGGCTTCTTAATGATCATAGGAAATTAGAATGCACTTAACTGAAGTGAGCAATCTTCTTCCCAAATACTTTTTCGAAAGTGATTACTTGACTGTAAGTGGTATTTTGCTTGTTTACAGTTGTCCTCAGCGTATTGCTAGGCGAGGTAATTATGGAGCTTTCTTAATGGACAACCTTCCTCTGGTAAAGTCGCTAGTAGAAAAATTGGCTCAGAACCTTCAAGTCCCTGTCTCATGCAAGATTAGAGTATTTCGTAATTTACAAGATACTATCAATTACGCTAAGATGCTTGAGGATGCTGGGTGCTCTCTGTTAGCTGTCCATGGCCGAACAAGGGATGAGAAAGATGGGAAAAAAATCAGAGCTGACTGGAATGCCATAAAAGCTGTTAAAAATGCTCTTAGAATCCCTGTCCTTGCCAATGGGAATGTACGGCACATGGATGATGTGCAGAATTGTTTGCAAGAGACTGGTTGTGATGGGGTGCTTTCAGCCGAGTCTCTCCTCGAGAATCCTGCTCTTTTTGCTGGATTTCGAACTGCTGAATGCACAGTGGGATGTGAAGAAAGCCATAAAGATGGAAATCTTGATCAAGCAGAACTATTGGTGGAGTATTTGAAGCTTTGTGAAAAATACCCCGTTCCTTGGAGAATGATCCGTTCTCATGTACACAAATTGATGGGGGAATGGTTCAGGATTCAGCCCAGTGTCAGAGAGGATCTAAATGCGCAATCCATACTGACCTTTGAATTTCTTTACGGTATTGTAGATCGACTGAGGGAGCTGGGTGTAAGAATTCCACTTTATCAGAAGGATACTCATGTGGGTAAAATTTCAGCTGATGGTTTGGCCTCGTGAACACACCATGCAAGTAGTAAAAACAAGTTGCAGGTGCCCCCAGTCTTTGTTTTCTGGCAAAGACCACAACGGGTTTGTTGCCAACTCTCAGATTTTTTTGGTTCATGAAATATATATATATATTTTTTTAAAATTACAATTGTCAAAGTGATTTGATTATACTAACTGACATATCCAGTAAACAAAAGTAAGAATGATCAAAGAAGGCTTTGTGGTAGTTGTACTAGATTTGTTGTATTAGTTAGATATTGTTGTATTATCATCATTAAGATACATATGTATCAATTTTGAAGGTAATAATTCTTGTCCAGAGCAAAAAATTACTCTGATTAAATGATTTTTTGTTTTGTCTTTTATAAATGTAATACGTAAGGAATATTATTTTAGGTTTTTTTTTTTTATTTTTTATATTTACAAATTTTAAGGTTTGAAGATACTTAAAAGGTGAGGCAAATGTTTCAACTGGAGTCTTCTGATATTAGTACTAAAACGGTCATCGTTCGGCTGTTCATGACACGTCTTGTAATTGCAAGAGGCACTTTACTATCAGTGTGTGTGTTATGCATGCCAACAATTAACTTTTCGTACTAGGGAGAAAATGCCAGCATTTAAAAGAATCAATGTTCGGTTTGTCCAACTAATTATTCCGAGAACTGCTGGAGAATGAGGAAAAGAATTAAGCAGCAAATTTTCTATGATGAAAAACTAGATGAAAATTATATCAAATATCAATCAGTTTGGTATCAATTTCCATGAAACAGTTTCCATGGCCTCGCATTTGAAGCTGCTTGAGAGTAACACTAGCTAATAAAGGCCAATGCTAGGATCCAAATTCCAAGATAGAATTAAATTACACCATTGTAACTAGAAATAATTCAAACGTTTGATACAATGTATTTACAAGATTCAAAACTCAAACATAAGCTCCTACATGACAAAGTTCGTGGTAACTTTGCTTACTAAATGTTCTCCATAAACAGCTCTATCAAACTTTACAGTTCCACCAGTCCGCTGTTTACAAACTTCCAGAGGCTCCACTGCTGTATCGTAGTTGGTCTGTTTATGCCAAAAAAAGGGAAGAAAAAAAAATCTGAAGCACCAATGCAATTTTAGTCTGAAAAAGAAGTTATAAGAGCGAGATATTGGTTAACCTCATAAAAGTGCGCTATGCAGATCCGATATTTTGGAGAATTGTTGATCACTCGATGCAGGGTTGACTCGTACAAACCATTGGAAAATATCTGCAGTACCATCAAGCTTATTAGATGTCATAAGAAACAGAGAGACAGGGGAAGGTTTTCGGGACAAAACCATTTACCTTCAGCATGTCACCAATGTTGCATACAAATGAACCAGGTAAGGGAGGAGCTGATATCCATTCGCCAGACCGGTTTCTCACCTTCAACAAAATATCCAAATTACATATTTGTGGAAACTAAGGCAAAAGTTTCATATGAACATAGAATTAAGCCTCCCAACAGAAGTTGAAACTGCCATTAGAACCTTTACTATTATAAAGACGATAAATGAAGTTGAACGGAGGCTAAAGGAAACTTTGCAGCTAGCAGAGATTATGATTAATTAAAGCATGGTAGGTTGTTTTAAGGCATTGTAAGTTTCAAAGAAAACAAATTCTTATGTTCTTTTTCTTCATCCTTCTTTGTTTGACATGCCAACCAACTCCTCTGGCAAGGAAGGAGATATTAAAGAAACATATCAAACTTAAAGCGCTACTTTTTAGTTTTCAAGGTTGATTGTTAAAATCTTAATCGATTCATGCTCAACACTATCAGAAACTTAATAAACACTACACATCCAAAACAGAAAACTAAGTTACTAGCTGTTGTCAGCTGGCTCCTAGCATGACAAATGAAAACATTTTAAGTCTATGCCAAGCCCAAGAAAAGAAAGAGACAACAGATAATTGTTATGCTATTATGGTGAATCCTTGATGTTTAAGGAGGTTGAACATAGAGTGAAAAATGGGAGTATGGGACCATACCTGAAGAGCCGTTATATCGTCATCTTGATTAACTAATGTCAGCAAACCTGTTATGCAACATTACATATTTACTGAGATATATGTATTAGATTTTTGAGACCAGCGATCGTTTCAACTTTGAAAAGTATTTACCATAGTCAGTGTGAGCTCCGCTGAAGTATGGCCACAATAAAAACATAAGAAAACATGAAAAGAGAATATATATGAGCCTCAGTAATGCAAAGCAAAGGAAAAAACACCAATGGCAGCATTGTTGCAATACCATCCAATGTCATTTTCTGGCATCCCATGGCTATTGGCAACACCTGGGTAACCAATAATACGATACACCCAAAATGCATCTCCTGCTCTTTCACCTTCAAATTCATATGGTGACCCACCCAATGCTAGAGCGATCCCCCGCATAATTTTTCTTGAAAGGTCTGGCAGCATCAAGAACCAAAAGATGCAATAAACTTTCTGCCAGAATTAAAGACCTAAGACACACAGAGAGAGAGAGAGAGAGAGAGAGTAATCCTGCTATGGAAAGCATGCCTGTGCAGAGGTTGATGTACTCCTCCATCAGTTCTTTAAAGTTAGGAGGATTAAGTGGCCTGCCAAAAGCATCAGTAGCAGAAAAAAAAAAAATGTTGTTAGCATTACCAAAACCATATCCTTTCAATAACTCTAGATTGAAGGCACTTGCTGAATTTAGAGCTTCACAACCAGCAAGGAGATTCTAATATATGAAGGGTGGTAGAATAGTGCCAAAGGAATTAAGCAACTTAAATAACAGTATGGAGCACAACTTACAGAAGCTGAAAACTCTCATAAAGAACAACAAAGTAGAGCAATTGCGAGGTTGAAAATCCTAGACATATATGATGTAATTCTGATATGAATGTATACTGTCTACTTATTAAAAATTAGGTGTTCTATGTGACCAACTTTTAAGGTCAAGCAGACCCCATATACATTCTGGGCCTACCATGCAAGCTTACAGAAACAGAGCTCTATAGCTAAGGAACTTTCATTATAGAAACATTACTCATGGGCACAGTACTGGCAGGATAATTCTGCTGGAATATGGTCAATAAGAGATGAGCATATAAACTTCGTAACATGTTGTCATCGATATAATAAGTGTAATGATAATATCCAGAAGATCTGTTTTCATACATATTCTATACAAGAAAGTTTAGAATGCAAATCTAGTCAAGGAAACACTGATTTCAACATACCACTGATTACACCCTTCCATGGGTTTGCCAAGAGCCCCATACATCCCTTGTTTTATTTCTTTATAGCACTGTTAAAGCAGAAGAAAAAGATAACAACATAAATAACATAAAGAACTAGATGTATCACCAACTATAGTAATGATCACAATGATAAAAATAACTGTCATATCAGAAGCAAATTTAGCCCTCTGCGTGCTATTTCAGAGATAGTAATTCACAATAATTAGACACATGTGGGGAAACATCATAGCCCATGAAAACCAATATTAAAATTACATTCAAAGCAAGCTTATGATAGATGTAGCTATGATTTCAATTCATCAGTACCATTCCAGATATGTGTAAATGTACAGTAGAATAAGGTAGTATAAGTACAATAGCTGAAAATGGATGATAATCACATTTAAAGAATACCATGACATGGGTTCTTGCTAAGAACCTGGGAGAAATGTACAGAAAATTTTCCACAACATGGCGTCTCAAACATGATTCATTTTGCCCTTTGTCTAGATACAACATGCCTGATGCCTTATTTTAAAAAATGTCTTGGTCTAAAATTGTCTTCAAACATTCTAAAAATTTGCACAAGAATGCACAGTAAGAAGGTCTGCCATAAAGTTCTATTTTACAATATCTACAAACATGCATCAAGGAGAAAATGTTACTAAATGACCCCGGATACATGAAAACTCGTGAAGTGTGAAAATGCGCAAAACTTACATCAATAGCCTCATGCATATCAGGGATGCCTTTGGTGATATTTTCTCCAATTCTCTGATATCCCCTGCACTCAAAATATGCTCTCACTTAAGTAAGTTCTGATTTAAAATAAAATAAAATAAAAAAAAATTTGGCTCCTATTCCATTAAGCAAACCTGTAACCAGCTTGTGGAGTCATCTTGATCTTGAGTTTTTCTTCATACGGATGATCAAAGAACTGGTGTGAAATATTTTTGACCTCTTTGATGAGGGACTCAGGAATACCATGGCCCTTCTGTCAATTGCAAACAACACAATATATTTAGAAAATATAATGACAATTCAAATTTCTGCAGCGAAGCCTTAGTTTTGTTGGAGCACATAGAAAACACAGGTCACAGAAAGAAGAAACAAACATCTCTCTATCAGCAACTTATGTTTGATATCAATTACAAATTATTTGGTAACTCTATTTCAGCAAAGGAAAAACAAACAAGACTAAAAGATTACCACATAGAAGAATCCAGCCTCTCTGCAAGCCTGATCCAATTGCGTAACAACTTTACGTACACCGGGGTCTTCACCCATGTTTGGATCATCACAGTTGGCCAACAATGGACTAATGTCTACATCACACCAAAAAAAAAAAAAAAAAAAAGAAATTATGAGTTGAGACACACACGAAACAATCCAAGCCCTCGGGAAAACTTACTTTTAAGCAATTATTAATCTTCGGATAAGTAAACTGAGTTTTTACTCAAATTCACAAACATAGCAAAGCAAAATTCCACGATTTTTAAATGCTAATATTAAAGAATGAAGCCAATTTTTACTACTTCCACCCAAATGATGATGAAAATTGAGATAGACGTTTAAATTAACGTAGAGTTGAGATAGAAGAAGATGAATTGAATAAAGAGAGTTGGTTACCAATGACGGGGATGGATTTGAAGTCGGTGGCCATGTTGATGACAATGATCTTTTCGTATACCTGGCTGGTTGTGTATATACTAAATAGAAGCTAGAGAGAGAACACTTGTTAAGAAGAAAGACATGCAATTATCATGAATGTTCTTTCTGCTTCTGCTTTTGCAAATTGCAATCAATGGTGGGTCTGTTACTGATATATTTTTATTATCCGGTTGTGGCATGAAAGTTTTTGGTACAGTGGGTGTCGACGTCTGTCTTTGTCGTTTTTAATGTTGCAGGATGACGTTTAGCTTCGCCGGTCCAAGGGACCCGGCCCACTATTATCATAGAATCTTGCAATTGAACCTAAAAGGCTAAAACCCGCCCAGTACTTATAAATAAATTATAAAAATAAAAATGACGAAATTTTTGTTAAAAAATACATATGGACAAAGAGTTTAGAGTCGTACTCGTATATAGAAACTATTTTCAATCATTAATGAAAAATCCAATTTTAGCATCCTTTACAATGATATG